TCTCACATACTATACAGTGGAAAATTTATATCTCCGGAAGCATTTGTTATAGTTTTTTTTTCTGATTCAGTATGCTCATCCTAATCTTGTCTGGCTTTCTTGAAGGCAGTGTCTCCTCAAAATTTCGTTCTTTTCGCGTTTTCGGAGCCTTCTCGCCATGCTAAACCCATATCTGGGCTCTTCAGCGCATGAAAATGCAAAAATGAGGTTTTTCGAAGCTTTTCATATCCGCATTCGCAGGAAGATGCGTGCAAGCGGGGCCTGGAATGAAATGACGGGGTCCGGAAGACTTCCGGAGTGGATTTCAGGCTTACCAGCCTCTTTTTTTTGCTCCAGACTTCGCTGTTGGGTTAGCTGGGGGGTCAACCATTGCAACGCGATGAAATAGTTTGAGTGAACCTGCTTTTAATGGTGGCGATCGCAAAGCTGGAAAGGAGAGCTTCACTCATGGTCACTGTTGCAGCTGTTTCAGAAAAGGCTAAGCACTGATGAACCCTCTTCCGAGGTTCCAGAATCATCGCCAGCTGATGCTTTAGAACAATCTACGACTGATACGGCTCAGAATGAAGGTATGTGCATGGCTTTGGGGCCTAAACGTAATGTCGTAGCTATGTTTGTTTGCATCATCTTACATTTTGCAGAAAGAGATCATGAAGAAGCAATGAAGCTACACGCTGCACTGAATCTTCCATCTCTGCGTACCCGAAAAGATTCAGAACAACGCTCGCGAGATGGAGTAAGCTTTTTATCAAATCATATTTATAACGCTGCTGTTTATATGTAAATGTTTTTCCCATTCTCATTCTCATTCTAGATTAAGGAAGGGGCGCCCAAGTCGGATGTGCCTGCAAAGGTGGTCGGTAGGAAACGAAGTATAAGTGAGTGCAGCTATCATTTACAAGTAAGGAAGTTGAAACAAACATTTCCAGACGCTCACCCTACCTCCGATTCAACTTCGCAGTCTGAAAGCTCGCGCAAAAGGTGAGATTGTTTTTGAAAACTAAACGAGTATCACATATTTTTTCGCATTTCAGTGAAGACAAACCCAAGCAGAAGGAACCTCCAGCAGTCGAAGTGAGTACTTTTTCAACTCCATTCAAGTCTGCTCCTTCCTACTATCTCCTTTGTTGTTCAATTATGCGTCGTAGCATTTCAGCGTTTGCTATCAGCTGTAGTAGTAGTATAGTACTATGCCTGTTCTCCAAGAATGGGAAATTTTTCACCCATTTGGTGCCTTAGTAATACATTTTTCCAATGCTTTTTTTTTCTCGCCGCGCTTACTCAGCAAATTTCCGCCTCCGTTTGGCATTTTTACGCAGTCTAGTTTGGCGACTGCATCGTATCTTCGTGTGCTCTTGTTGCTTTCTCTTTTGTTCTTTTCTTGCACTATTCTTTTTCCAGCAAACTGACATGAACGACATAGTTGGCTCAATCTTGGCTGAAGCTCACACCGCGACCATGGCATCAACTACTCTCAATCATGTACCAATGCAGCTGCATCCTGATGTCTCTGGAAACTCGTCCAC